TCTTCTGCAATTAGCTCCAAAAAAAATGTGCCAAATTCCTCATAAATAATTACGTTTTTAACCAAAATTGTTTTCAGAATATCAAGCTGTAGATCATAGAGTGACAAGTTGAACCAAGAGAATCCACAAGAGAGTCTTAATGGAATATCAACTTTGTTTATCTCAGGAAGGCTATACATAAAGGTTGGTTTACTATGGTGTTGTAACAACTGTCTGTATGTTTTAGAAGTGATCCTTGTGGCTTTTTAAGATCAGAGACAATTTCCTCTATAGATAAGGTAAGATTGTTTTTTGTTTTTGTAATATGCAGTTCCTTTTTTAATACTATTTTTCACCAAAGACAAGGCTCAAGAGCCACTAAAAGTAATGGGTTACTGAATGAAACTGATGTACAATTGCAAAAGCTGGAAACAAGAAATGCTTATTATAGCAATTGTAACAAGGAAACACTTGCCATTCATTGACCAAGCAGCCAGTACTGTTTTCGGTTGATATTTAAAAAAAAAAAACCAACTTTCTCTTAAAACAGTTTTTCAGGAAAATAAGTCCAGAAGCTGTTATTGTTTTTTTCATTATTGATGGAGGTTTCCTTCCTAACCTTTTATTTGAAGTAATATGGAATGTCAACATTTCTGATTACATCCTTATTTTCCCTTAGAGTTGTACTGTCTACTTTAGTTGTTACTGCCATTGGTAGTCTTCAAGTGATGTGGTTACTGTTATTTAGTACAGTTCTTTGTGAATCTGTAGCAGTAGTCCACAATGTTCAAAGAAGGATGATCTTTGCTGAGATCCTCAGGTTTCTCTCGCTCAAAGCCTTTTTTAACCATTGATCTTAGAAAATGGTTGTATACAGGTGTCATTTTAGATATTTCTGAATGGGTTTGGGTGCTATACGTATCATCCATATGTATGTCATGATCTGACGAGACTGTATAAGAACATGTAAGATAGATAAAGGTTGACCATAGACTTGAAGAGGTTAAGATCATAGTGATATAGGAAGCATCCTACCACAAAGTAATAAGAGAAGAAGCTATCTGATTGGAACTTCCTTCTTACTAATGTAATACAGAGGGAATGAGGATGAGTCGACCACGTGGCATGGCGGGTCCTAGCAGTGAATGTTTGAACTGTTGGTACTAAGGAATGTAGCTCATCTGCACATCTGCCATGAAAATAACAATATAGTAGCAGGAGGCTAGCAACATTTCATCTGTGGGAAAAATTTATTAGGTTCTTGATGTATTACTGAACTCAATTAGCTTATAAAATTATGATGGAGAAAGAATACTATAAAGACATACTATTTTTTTGATGTTTTAAGAAAAAACTAGTTAATTGCCTTCAAGAGCAGGAAAAAGTGATCAGCAGTGATTTCGTAGTGCTTAAATGAAAATTAAAGGACATAAAGAGAACTCTTCAAAATAACTATTTGTTATTTCTAACAGAGAAAATAAGAGGAGGATCTGCAGCATTACCAACCATGTAGCTATAGTAAGCACTAGCAGCATGGCTCAGCGTTGCCCATGTTTGATTCAAAAATCGTACGACTCATACAGCAATTGCTATCACTTGACTTAAAATATTTTTGCTCTTCCTTGCCTTTAAAGGAGTGCCCTTTGCCGTGCTGACGTTGCTACATGCCTTACTTCTTGCCTATTTCACACTGCAAACTTTTTCTAAGCACTGTACTAAACATTAAATCTGTTACGAAAAAAGAACTAAACAAAATGAACACAAAACGATCAGCTTTAAAAAAGAACTCGTAACTGGAAAAACTGAATGAAAAAAGAATGTTAACAACAAATACTTTTTTCACACCCAACCCAGTTCTATGGAATCAGAATCAACGTTGAGTTTAAGCAAACAAATGAGCCAATTGGAGTAAAAGTGCCATGCAGATTTAAATTTTTCCCAATTGTGATGAATACAGCTATCGATTTTTTTTGCATGCTAGCATGCTAGTTAACATTTGTGTCAGTCAGCTGTTGGCTCTCATGCTGGCCAATAGAATTTTCCTGCCTATTCGTGGCAGCCAGCTATAGGCTCTCACTCTGTCCAGTAGAAAATGGCCGCAAACTACATGAAAACTGCCGTAGAAGCATGAAAAAAATCGATTATTTCCACTATCGATGGGAGTTGGGAAATGCAAAGTTGGTCTTGGCCTTCCCGCTAACTTGGAGCATGTGCATGTGAATTTTGGTGCAAATCTGCTGAAAATTGCGGTCGTGCATTCGTTACACACACACACACACACATCCTGCCTTTTATAGATAGAGATAACACGTAAGAGATATGGCTGAATATATCCAAAAGATTTTTTTTTAACAATGATGTTCAGTCTGTACAAGGCCCAAGGGCCACTTGAGGTAGAGGGTTACAGAGTAAGAGGCACAGCTTATGCGTAATATGCATAGAAGATAACAGGAACAGGTTAAGGCTGTAGTGATCAGTGAAGCATCCTCTTGGGAGTTGATTCCAAAAGAAGCTAATGGTTATTTGTAGAAAGAATAACATTGGTGGTTTTCAATAGTAAAACCACTCATTGCAACCCTTTTACAAAAATTATTTCTTTATAAGAGAAGAGTTTGATAAATGACTGTATTCATTTATAACATTGCATGTAAATACAGGAAGGAGAAACCAGCCACCCCCTCAAAGTCAGACTTAAGGAACATAAGAAAGCCATATCCAAATGAGTGGTAGAAAAATTTTCCATGGTAGACTGTATCTAAAGAGAGAAGGGTTCAAATTATCTATTTGCAATAAGGACCAAACAATTGATAGAGTGGAAAAATTCAAAGAGGCAGCATATATCAGGTTACAAATTTCAGTATAGCATAGTTTTCTTTGTTTAGCAGGTTGAGGAACATACTGCATATAAATTAGAACCACCTGAATTACGTGGGGGATGGTAAATGGTGTCATCTGTATTTAGTATTGTTGGAATAAATCAATCCAACCACTTGATATAGTATTTTATTAACCTTTCAATTTTTTATAGATTATACACTGGAAGAAAACTGTACAATGAATTGGTTGAAATATTGTGGTAACACCATAAACAATAAAAGAAGTTCAAGTGTTTGAAGAAAGCTTTGAATGTTAATGACTCTTCTCAAAAGTTATAGGCAAGAAAAACTTGTTAAAAAGATAAAAAATGAAAAGAAAAATAGTCATAATGTTGACATAAACAGTGTAATTATGGGCTGAATAAAGAATAGCAATTTATATAAAATTATATATTAAAAAAAAAAAAGAAGCAAATGGAGTTATAAAAAGATATAAAAACATTTCAAAGCTTAAGTTGAGTAAATACTTCTGCATACAGAAGATTAGTATATAAAAGCCTATGTAAAAATGAATGAGATGCATTGGGTAAGTGGGTAGGGAGGAGTAAACAAAAGGTGTGTTAGCTTGCAAGCTAAAAACTCTACCAAATTTTAATGATGGAAAATAGAGCAGAGGTGTAGTGGTGAGTAAGGCTTGAACTTGTTGCACCTTCTATAATGAACCCACAATTCACATTTTATACTTTACCCAGAGAAAATTCCAATACTCAATTCAGACATCCTTTCACTTGCTCATTCACAGTTTGTGTTGTTATTACTTTTACTTCATAGTTAGAAAGAACATTATGAGTTTTTTACAGAAGTTTGCAAGAAAAGCATAGAAAGATGTGAGATGCTTAAGAAAGTACATTTCAGGTTAAAAAAAAAAAGGACAGCAGATTTTGCTAGGTTTTAGACTGGTTAGTTTCAGTTGCTGTCTCATGGCACACCGGTGAGCCATGAGAGAATCATTGGTGTGTGACAAAATTTTTTAAAAGTTATTTTGGAAAGAAGTCCAAAGAACAGTAAGTGTACATAACAAAATTAAAATCTTTTAAGTAGATTATATGAGTATATCATTGTTATAATAAATAAACGTATACATAATATATAAAGCGGGTGGGAGGCATGCGAAATGAGGTCGTGTGACACATCCATAGATAACACAATTTGACAAGGACTTGCTAATGAACACAGATATATTTGTGTTGATTTTGGGAATTCCACCTTGTGCTTGTCTTCAATTGTGTCTGAAGTAGTGAGGACATCTAACTCATACTGAATGGATTTTTTTTATTACATAGTGTTCAATTAGAATGGACAAGTTTTTAATTAAGAAAAAAGATTTGAAGACAATTTGAAGACAATGCTTGTGATCATAATTTAAAATGTGCTGCAGAAGTTTAACTGTAGGTACAAATATGTTGTGAGATAAAAAAAACAGTTGAAAAATGATTTTAGAATAATATAAGTATTTGTTTTACAGTAATTAGATTATGTAATTTCATAATGTTTAATTCATGTGTTAATCTGTCAAATCCTGTCGTCATTTTTGACATTCTATTTTAAGGTAACAAAGTTATCAAGCATAACAAGAATAGTTGTTAAACAAAACAGAAATGTCATCTGGAAGTACTTAATATGGCCTGAATTCTAACAATTTAGGTTGGGCAAGGCCTGTTGTGGATAGAAAAATGCATTTCTTTTCTTTGGCTTCATTTTTGTTTTTTTTCTTCTCTTTTTTTGTAAACTTCTAGTCTAGTGGAGAGATCTGTTTCTCTCAGATAAGCTCTTGTTCTTGTGACAGGAAAATAAGGCAGGTGAAATTTAAAGTCAGTTGTTTTTCCCTTTCATTCTACACTATTTTAAGTAACATACTTTTACCTTTTTGTAATTTTTTTTTTACTTACAAGTTATCTCTTAGTATTTAATATACTTGACATTCAGAAATACTATTCCGTCAGAGATCAATCACTCAATTGTGTTTAACATTCAGTTGTAGTGAGTTTGCAGCATTTCGCAGTCATTGGAGAGAGGAATCTGCTACTATGCAAATGATCAGATGAATTAAGAGTAAACGGAAGGCTAGTAGTTTAAAGCAGCATGATTAGAATACAGCCTGAGCATTCAGAATAATAAAACAAGTGGAATGGTGTTGATGTTTACCTTTAATGAATTTGATTAGAGTCCTAAAAGGTGGAAGAAGAAACACAATTACTTTGGATACATTCAATACACATTAATACATTACACATGCGCTATATATGTATATATATATATATGTTTGAACAATAACAACATATCAAGTATACTTAATGAGATTTTGAAACCATGCAAAATCAAAAAAACATTAACAACCAAAAAATAAAAAAAAGGTTCACTTCACACTATAAGACATATTAAAAGAAAAGACAGTGTTGGATCTAAATTTGTTGAGGTCCTTCCTCCATATATAATAATAATCTTAAAAATTTGAGGATTAAAGAAAAAATATTATGCAGTAAAAATCCTGATATATTGAGTTTAACCATATAGTCTTGGGTATGAGCATGTTTAGAGTAAATTTTAAATTTCCTACATCTGTTTGTATATTAAAGAAACATTTTTAAAATTAGTATTATCAAATTCCTTGTAATGTAAACCTCTAAACAGATTAAGGATAACTTCTCAAGAAGGAGAGTTTTTAAAATTCTATATTTTGATATTCTGCATATTGATTGATTATTAGCGCTAATCACTTGTGACATAAGGCCTAAATAGGGTCATTATTTTTTGAAAGATTAAAGTCAGTTTGAAATGTGATGATAGCTGGACATCATAGAAATAGATAATGTTTGATCTTTACATGGAGAGACAAACACCAACTTGTAGTTGGAGGGATAAACTTTCCACACACTTTCATTATGACATTCCTTCTTTGATTCTTCCATATTAAACAATTTGCTAAATCAATTCCAATGGTATCTTAGTAAAAGAGTCAGGATTTCTATATTATGAAGATAAAGTTTATTTATAATAGAAACCACCTGTAAAGCAAATTTCTAAAAAGTATTTCATAAAAAATTGACTTAGACTATATGCATGCATATAAGTCAGCTTTTTTAAAAAAAAAAAGAAAAGAGAGAAGAAAGCCCTATACAGTGATCTCAGCAAAATGTTATCCTTTGTATAAATAAATAATCAAGCATGATGATATTTATTTTCTTGAGGAACCTGCAGACCAGGAATTGGTTTATATCTATTTATGGATATCTATAAAATTAAACCAATGTATATGTATGGTTTATATTATAAAAAAATATAAAAAGCATTTTGCAATGCAGCCAAAAACATCATGGTGGAGAATAGAAGAAATAGCTAACAAAATTATATATATATATATATATATATAACATTCAAATATCAATGAAGAAAGCTAGTGAGGATTCCACAGTGATTTACAAAACAAATTTAGTGACAAAAGGAAAAAAAAATTCTGTTACACCTTTTGTCTTTCAGATTAATGTTTTTATTAATGTAATCAGATAGATGTAAAATACAACACATGCTGGTTGCAATTGTACATTGAGAAACACAGAAGACAAAGAAGCTTAATTTGGGATTGAGATTTTTGGTGATTGATGTATCTAGATCTATAAACTCATTCAGCTTTTTACTGCATTTCTATTTATTGCTATTGTTTTTAAATAACCAATTTAGATAGAATGTTTCAATTTCAATGACCCAAACCTTCATTTAGTTACTCTTAACAAAATATTAATACAATAAGTGGTTGAAATAGCCAATCAGTTAGTAACATCCGGGTTAATAAAAAAAAAGAAATTAAATTCTTCAATGCTAGATGACTATAATAAGTATACTCATTTTAGTTGTTTTACTGACAATATTTCGGCTGTTGTAACCTCTGGCCTTTTTCAGATGTATTTTGTACCAAACCCTTTATTCAAGTGTTCTAATTCCATTTTCCATGCTTAGGGGGGTATCTTATATCATTTAATACACTCTAGTTTATTCACCTTTGTGTCCTTTGCCTATTTCTTCCATTGAACCAGAGTATATGATTTTTCTACAGTATCTGACCTAGGGATTGAACTCACAACTGCTAGGAAATGAGGCATGTTTTAACCAACACCTTAATTGATGAGGGCATGTATCTTATGTCCTAGACGTATATGTTTAGAGCCTTAAACCTTACATATGTATTCAAGTAGTGGAATTTTTGAATGTCCTTCCTCTCTTAATCAGTCTCCCAGATGGTGTTCATTTTTATACTAGGTCTACTGAGCAGGTTGTCAGCACTTAATTTCAAATAACAACCAAGCTGAGTATACTACTTTGAATGGAAAGGTATAATTCTTGATCTGAAAATTTTTACCATAAATTATGATTGCAATAACACAAAATGAAGTACTTGCCAGGCAGATGAAAACTTTATTCACATTAGGAGTCTAAAGATAAATAAAATTAAAGAAACAAAAAGAAAAGATAAACTTACCAAAAAGTTGTGATTCCAACAACTTAGTGTTCAACTGGTCACCATCTCCCAATGGCTGAAGGTTTAAAACTTCTTTTGTAGGCAACAAGTCCAAGTCAGCTAAAGACACATTTTTGTAAGGGTCGAGAGATTCTTTATCAATGTGAGCAGGACTATTTTCCAGAGTGGATGCTGGAGTGCTCAGTGTCCCTGTGTCTCCACTGGCATCCTTATCACATGTTGTGCTGTCACTTCCTTGTTCACTCCGAGGGGAAGAGACATCAGGAAGTAGAGATTTAACCTCTTCATACTCAGTTCGAATTTTAGCCAGTACCGGATGGGGACCTGTAGAACAGGCAGACGACATAAGATAGATATGTTTTTCAGAATGAGCAAAGTCTTCAGTTTTGTTTTGAACACATTTATTTATTTTTTAAATAAGGTCAGATATACAGACAAACCTATCATCTATGGACCCCTCCCCATCAATGGACTTTGAATGCAACCAATAAAATCTGAAGGCAAAATAAAAAAATCTGCAGGCAAAAAAAACAAAAAAAAAAAACTTTCAAATCATCAGTGATGTATTTCAAAATTTGTGAGCTTAGTGGAACGAATCATATTAGTTCTCAAAGTGACTGCTTGGCGGCAATGGCGAGTTATTTATGCTATATATACATGTTTATAGTATTTACATTATAATCATACCTACTGATAGTTATTATAGTGGTTTTATAACTCAAAAATAATCTCTTCTCAACTACGGACAATCGTCTTTAACAGATCCCACCCCGCCTATTAGTCTGTTGATGAGAAGTTTGTCTGTATTCAATTTGGATATTTCTCCATTGCATGCCAATATCTGAATCTCTGTGACACTGGTATGTGCTTGAGAGAGCTGGTCAGGTGTTCAGATGCACAGTAACCCTATTACCACACCCAGTCTGATAATGATGTGCATACATTCACAGGTTTATCCATACACAGAGGCCTATCATATTTCCTTGAATAAGACCTATCATATTTCCTTGAATAAGTGCCTTCCAACAAGAAGTAATAAGTGCCCCTCCTCTCTGCCCCTTAAATAACAGGAATATAATAATAGGGAAAGTTTGTGTTGTTAAATATCAAATAAGTGTTCCCTTCCATGTGTATATAATATTTGCTTATATCAACTAACAGGGACAGGAAAAATGGCAATTGGAGGTTAGTGGCTGTGACACAATGTCAAAGTTGTGTGGTGGTGCTGTTCTCTTTGTGCAATGAACTGTGCATCTTCAAAGTTTGCAGTGGCTTGGTGGACAATGGATTAACATGATAGGTTAGCAACACTCTAATCTCTAGTTCCTTTTGGTTGATCTTGCACTAGTGAACATTAGTTTTGATTGCATCTTTGTACCATTTCTTTGGTTGATCTTGATGCCACACCCACACACCCACACACAGTCTCGTTATTAGCCACTTTTCATTTTGTCTCATTTTTTTAGAAACCTAATAAAGTGACTCACACAAACTATAAATGTGCACAATATTTCATATACAATGTATAAATTATAGTTGACTACATGTTACTGTTATGACATGGCAACAATTTTATGAATTTTTAAAAAAGTTTCACATTTGCCAGGTTACTGAATCTTCAAGAAACAATGCTGTATTTAAAAATTATAATTACAGAACTTTCACAAAGTTTACAAAGATAATATCTTGAACAAAATAATTGAAAACAGTTTCATTATAATTATGACAATATTAAAAAGATAACTGCAGTGTTATGTAAATGACTGTAATTAGCATAGCAAAGGCTTAGAGACTATATAAGTGTCCAAGCAGTAAGGGGAGGGGCAGAATATGATACATGAGATTGATGACTACTGCTGGGTGCAGACTGTAAAATATGAAGAAAATTAGATTTTATACCAATAACTAGCAGCATGGCCCGGCGTTGCCCGTGCTTGATTCAAAAATCATATGACTCATACAGCAATTGCTATCACTTGACTTAAAATATTTTTTGCCCTTTCCTTGCCTTTTTAAAGGAGTGCACTTTGCTGTGCTGATGTTGCTACATGCCTTACTTCTTGCCTATCTCACACTGCTAATTTTTTCTAAGCTCTATACTAAACATTAAATCTGTTACTAAAAAAAAGAACTAAACAAAATGAACATAAAAACGATCAGCTTTAAAAGAGGACTCGTAACTGGAAAAACTGAATGAAAAAAAGAATGTTAACAGCAAATACTTTTTCACACCCAACCCAGTTCTGTAGAATCAGAATCAACGTTGAGTTTAAGCAAGCAAATGAGCCAATTGGAGTAAAGTGCCATGCAGGTTTAAATTTTTTCCACTTGTGATGAATGCAGCTATCAATTTCTTTTTGCATGCTAGCATGCTAGTTAACATTTGTGTCAGTCAGCTGTTGGCTCTCATGCTGGCCAATAGAATCTTCCTGCCTATTCGTGGCAGCCAGCTATAGGCTCTCACTCTGGCCAGTAGAAAATGTTCGCAAACTATATGAAAACTGCCGTAGAAGCATGAAAAAATCGATTATTTCTACCATCAATAGGAGTTGGGAAATGCAAAGTCAGTCTTGGGCTTCCTGCTAACTTGGAGCATGTGCATGTAAATTTTGGTGCAAATCCACTGAAAATTGCAGTCGTGCATTCGTTACACACACACACACACACACATCCTGCCTTTTATAGATAGAGATATTAACGCAAAATGTATTTCCAATGTTTTGAAACCAGTTTTAAAAGTTGTTCATCTGTCAGCCTGTACAGCTTCCCAATGATCAACATTCTGAAAAATTGCCATCTGCCAATGTAAACCATTACATTGGCAGATGGCAATTTTTCAGAATGTCCCAGGAGTTTTGATTTGGGTTAATGTCCTGTGAACAAATCAGACAGGTCATCGAAATCCATTTTATTCAGATCTTTATTAGTTTTCTTTAACAAATGTCCTGCATAAAAATCCATGTATCCCTTCCTATCAGCTGTTAAACCAATTTGGAACATGCCAGCGGTCCACCACTTTACTACCTATAATCTCACTCTAAAATATCTCAACACCTCATCTTTATAGATACCTCAACCTGTGAGGGCAGTTTTCACCAGTAGCCACATGGTCTTTGCTTCATCTGTTTCACTCATAGAGTGTAGACAACCTGCCTCAGTTGTTCAGGATGTTCAATGAATTTGCTGATCATTTTTGCAATTTCTAGAATTGTTTTTACTTTCCAAAAGCTCTAAAGCATTTATCTTCATCAATCAAATCAGCCTTATGATTCACTTTCACTTCAAATTGACAATTATTTTGAGACTTTGAAATTCAAGACATTTTATACAAATTGCTGTCATTTGTTTACATCTGCACAGAGCAAACCATTCTTTGTGCAGATGCTTCCATGCCACTTACAATCTTCAAAAAGGTAAAATACAACATCAATCCCCATTTTCTGTCTTCCTGAATCCTGTTCTTTTAATGACCATTCTCTTCACTAAAGTCTTCTTATTCTCTTTCACTGTCACTAACCCCTGGCATTTTAGTGGCACTATTGCGTTGTTTGGAATGAATAAGTATTTTATATACAGATGGAGTCAACAGGCAAGGAGGAGAATCAATGGCTACATATCTGAGACCAAGGTGAGCCTTCAACTTGGAGGATATTGGCTGTGGTTTGACCTGAAGAGGGATGGATTTCACTAGGTCTACTTGCAATGCAGGAATGAATACCTCCCTGCCTTTAAACCCAGATATGTAGAGGGAGCTGGTCACGTATTCAGTTGCACAGCAACCTATGAACATATCTGGTCATAAGAATGATGGGGATGACAATAATGACACTGATAAAGCAAAAGTGTTTTATATTTTGATATTTTCTACTAAAGATGATGTGAATAAACATTGAAATATCTGAAAAATTAACAATTTTCTTGTTTCTTAGTCCAGTGCTGATATCAAATAAGAATTTTTCTTTAGCTATTTTCATCCTTTCTTTCTTTACTCCTCCCACACATGCAAAAAAAAGAAAAAAAAAAGAAAAAAAAAGAACTGATTTTTTGTCCATTGTAGTAGTAGTAGTGATGAATTATAAAAATGTTTTGCAGACATTCACTTCATAGTTTACAATATTTACAAGTGAACTATTGCCCCTGTTTTGGCCAGCTTTCATCAGGTGCATGTTAATTTGGGTAAAGAATTATGACCTGAACCCTTTATTTAATCTTTGGAGGATGGACTGTTCTTGTTCCATTGTCCATGTCTAAGAATATCTTGTCAGTTATTGCTTGCCCTGTTTCCATGGAGTACAAGTACACACTACCCGATCCAGGGATTAAACTGTGTCACCAAATTCACAAACTAACACTTTAATCCACTAAGATATTACCCTGTGGGAATTCCCTGTAGGTTACCCAGATCAATATACACCTGATGATAGATTCAAAACTTGGAAATGTATAATTATGTGATTAAGATCGTCAACATAAATTACCAAAAACATGTTTTATTTAACTGTTTCTTTTTCATAGTAATCATTTGATGGAATTGTTGTGTAACAAGAATATTTATCTCTTGCTTGGACTTAACATACATTCTATTATTTTCTTTTATAGATTATCATCCTGTATAGCCTCTTATTTCAAGGAAGAAATCTGATATAAAATGGATAAACCTTTATTCTCCCCCACCGTCAGTTATCTTTCTTTTAGAAATAAAATAGAAATCAAAATCATCTCACTACATTGCTTTGATTAGAACATAAGAAAAAAAATAAGCATCAATATTATAAAATAAACTGAGGCATTTTATGACCAACTTCTGCAACCATTTTAAGGCCATGCAAATAAAGATAGCTAAGCTTTAGAAGAGAGAGAGTGAGAGAGAGAGAGAGGTAAATGCCTTGAAATAATGAATTTGGAATACAAATTTAACCAAAACAGAAATATTAAGCACAAAATATAGTTGTAATTTAAAAAAAAAAAATCTTTAAGATTTTTTACCTTCACCCATTGTATCAAACATATCCAAAGCTGAATAGAGTTGGGTTGGGAGAGAGTAACATCAGAACTGATATCCATAAATACTTTTTATGAATCCTCACTAAAGTTATTTTATGTGTTAGATGGATTTAAAAACTAGATACAATACAATAAAAGAAGAATATAAAATGAAATAAAGATATACTTTTGTTTCAATATTTTTATAAGCATAAAATATTTGTTACATTAATTATTTATATATTGTAATCTGACTTTTGGTCAACTGCTTTAAAGCCTTTTAATAAGGACAAGGAAATTTTTAAAGTTTGATGTTGAGTGAATGATTATGTTAGAATTAATTTCATCATGTATGTTTTTTTTATAAATTCTAACTAGAAAGATTCAGAAAATTAATTTTTTAAAATCTTATCTGGAGAAAGAAAATTTTATTTTAATTTTATTTTTTAACTGCAGATAAATCTGCTTTTCATGTGAAGAATAAAAATGCATAGAAAAAAAAATTGACTTCCTTTCTTTTATTTTATTTTTCTTTAAAATGAATATTTTGTTAAAGTAAATTCTCAACATTAGTCCATGCCTCTTTGAATGAAAGAGAAACAGATCAGAGGTTTTGCAGTGTCTTTGGCATTCCAGAAGAACATGTACAAATTGTGTCAAGTTTGTTATCTGAACAATATTTATTGTTTTCAACTTTTGATGATCACAAGAATTTTTGAAGCAATTGAGGTCATTTTGTTTACTTTTACACAGATCCCTTTGGGAAAGGTATAAATCATCTCTCTCCTCAGCTATGGGTTAAATAGCAGGATAGACTGAGCTCTCTACTTTTAGTTGGCAACCAGTCTAAGAGAAGGACAACTCAAAGCTGTTATAGCTGGAATTAGCCTAATGACCTGCCTGCCGAGCCAGTGAAGTGAAGGAGCACCCAACAGTGTGGTTGGTCAAGGCTATCGATTCATTCATGCACCTATTTAAATTGCACATATATGTGAGATTGCTGAAAATTTCTCAGCCTGATCTACTGCCCCCAAATCAGTATTTCAATCGCCAAATGTTAGAATACTGATTTTGGGATCAGGGCCAAGAACTTTTCAGCACACATTTGTACTGATTCAGTGAAAATGTTTATACCTCATAATGATTAAAATATTATTTTTGTTTTTAAGATGGTATATGATTTTAATTTACAAATCTCTAATGGATGGATGTAAAATTTTGTAATAAAAGGCAACTGACTTTTTATCAATTAAAAATTATTAATAATTTCAAATAGACATAAAAGGGAAAAACATTTTTAAAAATTTATCTTTTATTTGTTTTTTTAAAATTGGTGAATAAGAAATTATATGCTAATCTTGTTGACACATATTTAGTCCAAAATTGATGATTTCTTTACAAACTTTGCACAATGTTGAAAAAATATCTTCCCCACAGGTTTCCCCTGTTTGGAGTAAACCAAAACAAACAAAAATAAGAACATCCTCATTCACAATACTTACTGTCAGTGTTTGCATCAGTATCAGGTCGAAGCAAGTCATTTAAAACTAAATGTCAGATAGATTAAAAAACATTGTAAATACAGACTGTATATAAACTAAAGTATATAAGAGTGCAAATGAAAGAAAGGTAAACACAGATATATTTTTGAAAGTTTTTAAAGAAAAAAGCCTTTATTAAAAACTTTATAATGAATTTGTATTTGTGAAGAAATTACTTTGGTATAATAAACTGTCTATAGTAAAAGTTAAATGAAGTTATTTTCTATTTAAATAAGAATTGTTTTTCACTAATTCATTATTGAAAATCAAAGAATTCTTTTTAATATGCAATATATGGCTTATAGCACAGCATGAAGCCTGTGATAATTATTGACAGGACTTGTTAAAGCATTCTCAAGAATTAAATATTCAAATGTTGTGCAACCTTTTTGTAATTAAGTCCCAAAATCAGTTCCATTCTTATCACCGTGTATGGATATAAAAGCATGGCAAACTTAGATCTTCATGCCCACAAAAAAAAAAAATGAAGTCTCAAAAGGACATTTTTTCAATTGGAACCACTATTATTTCAACTACCTTGATTCCTTGGCAATGTTTATTGTTTTATAAAGCGATGATTAGAATTTTAATAAAACCTAAACACATGAAAGTCAGTTTATACATTTTCTTTTTTAGTTTATTGGTTACTTTTATAATTAATGTATATTTTTACATGAATTAATGGTGGTGAAAAGATACATACACAAAATTACAGAGACTGACTGATTTGCAATACAAAATAACATTTATTTAACAAAAATAACAAAAGGAAATTTTAAGAATTTCTTTACCTAAAAATGGAATACACAATGAAAATTGTTAATGTATTTGAGTGCGACTTGTCTGTGTAGGTGTGTTTGTGTGTAAAGTGTCTACAGCCCTTTTAACTTTGGTATAAAAAGTTGAAGGCACACACACTTTGAAAGGACTAAAAATAGGAAAAGAAAGTGACTTAGGAGTTTGCTTGTTTTTATACTTTCAGGGCTGCTGCTGATAATATGTTTATTGAGATACTATACTTTGTTCTTAAGAATTGACAATAGTATTTATTTTTTTATTAGAATGGTTGGCAAAACATCACCTAATTGCCAATTGATCTGAACTTTATAAAATGGTAAATAATGAGCATTTCTTTATAGTTTTAATAAATGTTTATAAATTTATGAATAGAAACTTGTTTTCATATTTATTTCTTTATAAATTTGTAATTGAAAAATAATACAATTGTATTAGTTTTTATTAAATATTAAATAATTCTTGCAAAACAATCTAATCAATAAATAGTGTCTATTATTTTTGTTATAAATTCTCAAGAACAAAAAATGAATAAATTCACTTTCATCATGTGTTTAGGTTTTATTACAAATCTAATCATCGCTTTTTAAAACAACAAACATTGAAGATGGAAGTTAATTAAAATAATGGTAGTGTCAATGGAAAAAACTATCCTTTTGGACTTCCTTTATTTTGCTGGCATAAAGGTCCAAGTTTGCCAAAAATATTTCATGTGGCTTCACTTGGAGAAATTACAAATGAATATTATATTTCAGCTTGAATAACAGTATTTAAATTTTCATTATTTTTAGAGATATTTTTATATTTAATCTTACAAATATGAAGACATTGCCAAAGAAAGAATAAACAATTCAAATACTGGGGTTGGCAAATTTATGAACACCAAAATGAAAATAATAAATATTTGTTTTTGAGCAATGGTCAAATTAAAATTTTTCAGGGTTCATTACACTTTTTTTTTTAATTAAAAATAACCAAAATTTGAAATTAATAAAAAGGTAAAGAGCACATGAATCAATTTTCTTTAAAAATATAACTTTTCTTGTGTTTATTCATATAACTTATATAATCACAAAAGCAAATATTAGAGTTGAAGCATTTTTGTAATTAAACTAAAAGCTAGCATTCATTGAATTGTAGCACTCTTTGTGAATGAGACGATTATGTGTTTATGAGAATATGAGTATTTAAAAAGCTGTCCTCTCTACTTGGAAAATTGGGGCTATACAATCTCCATATTCTATTTTCTGCCATTTGTTATTTTTGTTAAATATGATTACTAGTATCTTTTTAAGGTAAACATATTTTTGCAAAAAATAATGTTTACAGGATACAGAAAAAAAATAAAGTAGAAAATTAAGTTTCTGTGTGCAAATTGAATGAAGAATATTAAATGAAAATGAAAATAATAAATATTATAAAGAAGCACTATGAAATACAAATTAAACTTTACATTAAACTAAGAGAATTTAAATGGAGCTATCATTTTTGTTCTTTCTTTGGATTTCAATGGATGAACTAAATGTAGAATTTGAACAATCCAAGAGACATTATTTACATATTGAGAACTGAAAGCCTGACCAAATTAATATGAAAAAATTTCATTTTTGTTGTTCCAATTGAGTGATAAAAATAAAAAAAAAATGGAGGATTCACCTGTTCCACAATTCCACAAGCCAGAGACTTCTAATGTTCTTAATTTCTTTTCTAATTCAGCAACTCTGTTTCCAAGAATTCTGCAAATGAACGACAAACATAATTGTTGCATTCAAAAGAGAAACAAACCAACTAACCTAATTCAAAAAGACATTTTTTATGTTATACCTTTTGATATGTAGAATAAGAGAATTTAAATTTGACATGAAACAGTTCATAATACAAGTAGTTCAATTTCAATAGAAAAGAAAAAAAATGTGATGAATGTAGATGCAGATATTAAAATAATTGCAATATAAGTAAATATTGAAAAACTCTAGAAACATTTAGAAGATGCTGACAGTTTAAGTTCATCAATCAAAAACATTATGTGATGTTCTTACTTGTTAGTCTTTCGCTGGTGTGAGAGTGCAAGGTTCTTATCATTAATTGTTTCCAAAAGAGCTGATGCCAATCCCCGCAAATCAGCCATTGCTTGAGCACTAGGCACCTTATACTTTTTGTCTTCCAGAAGTTGAGTAACTGCAAGCAGAATATATATACAAGCCTAGATTAATAACACTATACTACATGGCAATGTTATAATAAGCAGGAGATTTTTTTTATAAATTTTTAACACACAAAGAAAAATAGGTTTTTCTATCACATGGTTCACACTACTTCCCAATCTTTTGAACAGGAGTAGAGGTTTATCCTTGGTTTTCTGATTAGGTTTGGGTCTCTGGATCCCTCTAAAATGTTTATTCTCTATCACTCCCAATAAACCCTTGTGTTTTAGTAATATTATCACCTTGCTTGGGGTGAAATGATAAAAAAAAAAAAAAAAGCATCTCCTGTTTTGTGGATAATTTTTTTGTTCTCAAATGATTTTTTGGCATTTCTATTCTCAGTCATATGGGTATTTCTCCACTTCAGTAATTTTAGTTGGGGAGTACATTATTTGTATCCACCAGTTACCCTTATTGTAACATATTGGGTTAGCCAAGGGTGTATAAATGCCTATATTGTTTAATGACTGCATGCAATAGGTTGCATGAAACTGCAATCATGTGTATGCTGAATTATTGTATAAAACATATATATATATATATATATAAAATTAATGGTGGGTAACTGAATGACAAAATGGGCAAAAAATCCTATATTACATTTCATCTTTCAAAAGGACTTCTTGTAAAAATTACATATATGTAAGGGAAGGGAATTAAAAAAAAATTATTGGGTTTAATTATACATCAAGAGAAATTCTGAAAATGTAGAAATGCTTAACTTTAAATCCCAAATAAAATTTGAAATTTAAACAAAGCGCGAAGCACATAACATTTTTTCCCTTTTGCTAATCAGTTACCCACAACACCGAGACAAACATGTATAGTTAAGCAACAAAAATTCATGCAACCATGTTTTATTGAAATTAGCTGAAAAGGTCTGTCTTTTTAAATGTTCATTATATTTTTCCATATAAGCATATATATTTGCATATAAGCTGTCATAAATCTGGCTCAAATTTATGAGGTAACTGCCCAAATTTTATAATCTTTACATTTGAGTATTTTCACTATCATTTCTTCATAATCTGAAATAACTAATGTTTTTAGTTACAATAAAGAAAAGTTTTTATTAATTTTATCCTAATATTTTCCAGACATGTTATAATTTTAATTGTATGTGGCCGTGGTAAAACACATACTATGTAGCTAAGGAAAAGATTGTTTGCATTGACTCAATGATCCCAACTACAGTCAAATCCTTTTATAATTTTATTTGAAGTGATAATTTTAGTGTGAAAACAATATTAAGACTTCAGTTGAAGTTATAAATCAACTCATAAAAAATTTTATTGCCTAATTTGGCTTTATAAAGTTGGTGTTTGAAGTCAGATTTTGTAATTGACCTCTAGCAGTCAACATGTTAAAAAAAAAAAAAAAAAATTGTTAGGAGTCACAAAAGTTGACAGCATTAAAGGATAAGGATTAATTTAGAAGAATTTTAAACACTTTTTAAAATGCCCTCAACCTATTGTGAAAGATAGAGTTCAACATAGGCTGTTACTTTTAAATACGTATAGATTGAACTATCAAAGTATTTATAATTTTTTCTTTTTTTAAAAGGTTTTACGCTACAATGAGTACTGTAGAGTATTTTAGTATTACCTATTAGCATTTATCTAATGTAGTAATCATGTGATGTGTTGGTCAATATATGTACAAATTGCACTGTCTCAATAAGTGATGTCAGAATGTGCTGGATGTATGACCAGTATGAGAGTTTCATATTTTTGTTTTATTATTATCTATGCTAGAAAGTTTTTACTCAAGTCCTGTACACTCCAATTATGGAATATGGGGACCACAGCTTCAACATGAACTGCCATTTGTCTACATTTAGTGAAAATTTCAGAAAAAAAATCAACATATTTTTTGAGCTATCAAAGTTTTAACTTTTATCCCTTAATTTGGGATGCTACTATATATTGAAACTGCATAATCCAAACTAAAAAAAAAAAAAAAATTACTGAAGCTTCCCAAATTTGACAACATTTAATGACATTAAAAAAGATTTGATATAAAACAGATTCAGAATATTTTTTTTATATAATGGAAGGCTTTTTTTTTTTAAAATTTGTCTGAATTTTTTAAATAACACATTCAAAACACTGAGATTTGTTCTGATTCAAGTTATCAATAATAGTTATTCATTGAGTTTTTGTTTTTATGTTGTACTTTGTTTTATGCTACTTCATAGTATTTTTTTTTTATCAGCAGCCTTTTTGTAAGAAAATTCTGTTGAAATTCTTTTCAAAGAGTAATCTTTTATGCAAAATTAAACCATTGGTTTCAAAATATGATGTGATGAAATAAAAAAACAGTTACAACTGTTTGATATCAATTGATCTAATCTAAACTAATATTGATTCTGAATGTAATATTCAAGTACTAAGTAATCACAATGGCAATGGTGAGATTACCAGTTTCCTTACAAGTAAATATTTGGCATTCATTGACCAAACAGCATTACTATTAGTTGAAACTTATAACAACATTCTCTTAAAACAAGGTCGTGTAAAAAAAAAAAAAAAAAAAAAAAAAAAAAAATCGACATTCGGTATATCAACCTTTATGTTTTATTTAATACTGAAATCTAAATATTTTGTACACAATTTTTTTGGGGGTGGGGGGTATAGTGGTTTTAGTGATACAAATCCATAGATGGGGTAGAAGAGGTTGATTCATATCTTTCCCAATGCTATTTGTTTGTAAGTGAATATGACAAACGCCACTGGAATTGGAACTCAGCACTCTGATTAACAATTCCAAGCTATTATCCATTACACCACCCATACATCTATGCTAACAGTAAGTGGTCACCCATCTAGGCACTGACTATGCTTGACATTGCTTAACTTCAGTGACTGTACAGGAAATGGTGTTTCAATGTGAGGTATTATTTACATTATTTGGACTATTGTCCTCATCTTTGTTGCCATATTTATTACAATGTTTTGGCTGTTATTCGCTCCGGCCTTCTTCAGGTGGTTGGAATGTCGAACTTAACCCTTTATTTCGCTCACTGGGGTAGACTGTTCTAGGTCCATGTTTAATGGATGTCAGTTATCAGTTATCTCCTGTTAATTTCCCTCTGAAAGTTCTCCACTGCCTTAAGTGGGTATTGAACTCACACTCTTTGGGTCCTGTCACTAGATCTAACCAATGCCTTTAACCATTTTATGATTAGGTGCCATGTGTCCTTGAAAACATCTGTGTATGAATTTCTGGGTATTATAAACCTAATGTCTTCAGCAACCATTTTTACCAGTGCTCATATTGCAATTTTTGTTGTTATTATTGCTTTTCTCTGGCACTCCTTATTACTGGTTCCCATATTGTATTCATTTCTATGCTTGGTCAGCTCAAGAGATTTTTGTGGCCTAGCATATGTGCTGATTCCTTAAGTTTATGAATTTTCCAATGGTGTTCCTTGTCTATGATCTCAACATGATCCCACAGAGGGCAGTGATCTCCCTTCTCTCTCCATATGTGGTCAGCCACGCCTGATTTTTTCACTTCTCTTTGTATTACAGCTTTCTGGTGTTCTTGAAGCCTTACCTTAAGGAGGCGGCTTGTCACCCCTTTATATTTCTTTCGGGATGGTGTACACACAGTCTTTAGTCATTTTCTCCTCTATGGGGGGGGGTCTTACTTAAAGAGATATCTGCAAAGTGTTGTCTGCTTTTTAAGGTTGTCCTGATGTTATATGGACCGCAGATCCTTTTTATTTTCTTCAATAACACCGTCACATAAGGCAGGCAGACTGTTTTTTGAGTGTTGTCCTCCTCTTGTACCTGCCTATCCTAGTTTTTTGGAGCTGCTGCCATGTACCCAGGGTAGTTGTTACATTGTAGGGTACTATTTATACTGACCAATTTTTTATCTAATGTCTCTGGATAGCACTTATGACTTCTGCTTGGTGTTGTAAGCAGTGGACGATCCCTTTCTTTACACTGTATGGATGGTGGGAGTTGAAATTTAGGTATTGTCCGGTGAATGTCAATTTACAGTATACGGATGTCTTGAACCCATGCTCTGTTCAAGATATTAGAACATCCAGGAATAGGAGTGTGTTGTTACTCTCTTTCTCCATTGTGAATTGTATTGAAGTTCTTATTGAGTTCACATGGTCCAGTAGAACCTGGACATCTTCCTGGTGTGGCCAGAGTATGAAGGTGTCATCTACGTACCTTAATCATATAGTTGGCTTTAGAGATATAGATTCTAATGCCATTTCCTCAAAGTATTCCATGTATATATTCGCCATTGCTGGTGATAATGGTGAGCCCATTGCTAAGCCCTCATCCTGTCGATATATGTGTGATCCCATTCAGAAGTGTGTTGTTTGTGTACAGAAAGTTAACATCTCCATCAGATTATCTATTGGAATACTGGTCCATTTTCTAAGCCAATCTGTCTCTGACTACTAATAGTGCCTCCTCTGTGGGTACCTTGGTGAACAAACTCATCATGTCCAAGCTCATCATCTGGTTGGTTAGGATGGGAGTATCTTTGATTATTTCCACGAAGTGGGTGGAGTTTCGGACATATGAAGGAGACTTTCCGATCAATGGGTCAATTATATCTACAAGGAAGTGACTCAGAGGGTGGTACACAGAGCCTTGGCAACTAACAATTGGCCTGAGCAGAATATTGTCTTTGTGAATCTTAGGGAGATTGTATATGTGAGGTAGCTTGGTGTAATGCTGCGATAGCTGCCTATATGTCTTAGGTGCGAAGTGATCCTTGTTTTTGATTAGTATCTGTGACAGTTTGCGTTTACAGTAGTAGTAACATTTGCAGAATTAATTTTGTCACCAATATATGGTGGCATGACTCAAATTATAAAATAAATATAAATCACATTTATAGCACATAATGTTTTTTTTTTTTATTTGCCATGAAGCATCTAATTGTTAGAAAATAATGTATATTATATAAATATAATTTGGAAAATCCAAAAAAAGAATATTATGCATACAAAAAGGTAGCTATCATCAGTTGTTAGTGACATGGCTTCTGTGGTTAGGAAAAAAAATTGGTGGACATTTTTCTAAAAAAGTATTAGTACTAAAAAACTGTCATTGATACCTAACATACATTTACAAAATATTTTTAAAATTATAAAAAGAAATAGTGGTTCCCCATAACTCTATACTGATTTTGGGTTGACAGTCAAAATGTTATGGCTTATATAATAATTCTGTGGTGAGTTTGCAAGTTTGTTATGAAGAAACCATTTTTTGTTCTATTCAAATATCAGGAAGCGTAATGAATCAAGTTTTTTTTACATTTACAATAATTTCCTACTGAATTTAGTCTTTTTTTTATTCTTTCTAAACAAATTAGATTCATATAGAAACATAGTAGCATAAACTGCTAGTCTTGCAACGTTTATTCAAATATCCAGTCATGTTGATAATTCATAATTTAGCATAAAAGAAAGAAAGGTGTAAGTCTTAAAGTACAAACCTTGTTTCTGAGAGATTACCAAACTATCATTTCGATTTTGGCCAAGTTTGAAGCTTCCTTTGTTCTTTTTCTTTTCTAAGATACTCTGAAAGTATGAAATGTATTATGGATTCTCTTAGTGAAAATTAAATTACTTTTCAATTTAAGAATAAAAAAGATTGATTTAAAAAAGAAAAAATATACAAAAAAAAATCTTTTCTCGTAAAACCTAAGTACTTGTTAAGCTTATTTTTGTATTTGATGAACAATTAGAATTAAGTTTTTCATTAAAAAAAAATTTTATCTTTTCCCAAAGTGATATTTGTATAGAAAAATCCTGGCATATGGGTTGCCTGTTATTTTAATAAATATGAAAGATAAACAAAAAGTGGAATCAATTTTTTGAGTGCTTCAAAATGGAAAAAAACAATTATTTTCATATTTTATAATTTTTCTTTTCTTTTTTAGCATCCTGCTACCATTTTTTTTTATCAATGTCAATTTTTGTGAAAAAAGCAGATCACAGAACTTATTCAGCTTCATACATATTTTCAGAGAACCTCAACTTCTAATTGGTCAATAAACACACAAGTGGGCATTACAATCTACCCATGTACAAGTCTTTTTCCAGCGCATGACCAAGTTTTCCTGCTTCTTTGGGTAGATGCTATGAAAACACACACACACACACACATACATACATACATACATATGAAACTTTCTAAACTTAATTACAAACATTACAAGCAATGGAAACTTAATTACAAACATTATGGAACATTCACTCCTTCAACTCTTCTAAAGCTAAAAGTTTACTCAACATATTCTCAGCTTTACAAAATTCTTTCAACTCTCTCACAGTGAACATTTGAACAGCAAGTTCATTCAACCTTTTATGAGATCAGATAAAAAAGTATTCCATTAGTACAAACTTTAAATCCATTCAAAAGAAGTAACCCCTACGCTTGTACATCATTATACAAATACAAATATAAATCTTGTTGTTATAAAACCGTTTTGTGTTCATTCTTGTTGTTTCTCTTGTTGCTTTTGTGTTTGCATACACATTCGTAAAGTAAAAATGTACGGGTTCATTTAGGCCGTCAACACTTTCAATACTGAAATGTATGTTATGACAGTTGCACACTTTGGTAAATTTAAAAAAACAAAAAACTTCCGTGGTAAGATGTGTCATGATTTTAGCAATTCAAGGGAGATAAATCTTTATTTTTTTTTTCAGAAAATACGTGTTATTAAACTGCATCAAATAAAGCTCTTCTAATTTCCCTCCACATAAAATTTTGAACTTTAGCCAAATAATTCTACTTCCAGCTGCAATATTTTCTAACATATGTTTTCCGAGTTACTGATGTGTGCCAAACTTGCTTGATTGTTTTTAAGTAATTGTATTTTTTTAATGATTTCTTCAAACTTAAGTCCTTGAAGACTACAGTTTTTTTGAGAGTGACGGATAGATTAGCAAAAATATATTTTAAGAAGTTTTACTTTTCTTCTGTTAACAATTTTAGTGGGATATCCAGTTTTAAGCAAAGACTCTATGGTGCTTACCCTTGCCTTTGTTGTACAGCTTTGCATGCAAAGTGTTTTTCCTTAATATTTAGATGAAAAACCTTATCCATTTGTGAATAATGTGCAGTTTTGCAAGTTTCAAAAACTACTACATAAACATTATATAACATGGCATCACTTAAATTAGGGATACAAACATGGTAATTTTAAAATACTGTTACCTTATTTTAGCTACGTCAAATAAGAATACAAGTTTAAATCTTTCATGCATGAAATTACTTTTATTCAATTCTGGACTCCATCAAACTAATGTTGGTGTGAGTGTGTGGTTCTGGAGACTTCAAACATTGATGTGAGGGACTAACTTTTTTCCTGTCGGTAGAGTATTTATATAACTTCTTGTTATCCATTTGTCTTGTGTTTGTATATCCTAAGTTCATCTGGATTGACTTCATGTTTTATGTTGGCTCAGCCACAGACTTCCTTTAAGGCCTGATTCTGCACTTGGTAGCTTTTAACTCACCTTCTAGGTGAAGTCTATAAGACACTTAGCTCTTTTGACATTCAAATGTGAGACCAGTTACAAGGCATATTTTGCTATCTCTCAGGGTGAAACCAGTAGATACTGAAGTCACAATCGATTAACGCCTTTTACATCAAAGATTCCTGATTGTTATGTTACCATCATACAGCACTTCCATTGTTTTATTTAGCTTTTGTTTGTTCCCTTTTTAATCTAGGTAATTCTTTAGACTGTCACCGTTTTGACCACTTCCTATTACTGGAACCGGTAGCATAATCTACAGACTCAGAGCACATGGTTCTTCTCATCCTCCTGAATCTTATCTCAATGATAGCATCACTGGTATGGTCTTCATTAATGTATTATTATTTGAGCATTTGTTTAAAGGTATCCAACTTTTATACGTTTATTTTGCTATTGTATTTCTGCATGTAGAACCTCTTTTACCTCTTCTTGCTTTCCTTCACTACTTTCTGTAGGCACTAAGTCATATTTAAAAATAAGTGTTTTCCACAATATGCCCTAAATCATATGGATTGGTAGTCATAGGATTTTTAGTATGATAATAGCTGAAAAACAGTGTGTGTATTCAAGAAAATAAGATTGCAATGGCTGGCCCAATTGCCAAGTCTCAAGTCCATCAAAAAAACTTATAGCAAAGAGTTGAAATTAATACCCAACACAAACTCCCAAACTAAAATCATCTCACCAATAATATAACAGAATATTAGGAGAAAATCTCATTGAAATAGTAAGATATTTAATATATGTGATGTTGTATTAAATTATTTCTTTTACTCTACTCAGTATTAATTGAATCTGTTCTTAAGAGATTTCAGTTGTTAAATCCCTGAAGTCTTGACTGAATTGTTGAAAAATCTGACTATGTAATGTTAGTACAATTAAACCAATATATCTAAAAAAACATTAAAAATCAAGTATTACAAGTTGATTTGTATTAAAGTAAATAAGTCTCCTTAGTATTACTGGTTATAACATGGTTTTGTAAAAGTTGTTGATTTTCAGCACGTTTTGTTAATCATGTTACAAGTGTTAATACTGTATATTGAAATACAGTGTTACCTGATTGTGGCAGCATTTAGATGCTTCCTGACTGCAAGCATGTGAAATTTGCTGACACATTTGGGTACTTCCAGCCTTAAAAGGTGAAGGTTCATTCTTTCATTTATTCATTTTGTCTTTGCATGCTTGTTACATAATAAAAATGACAGATAATTAGTGCGTTTAAACTAGTCGACTGGAGCTACATATGACAATATCAGATGTGATAGAAGAGGTTAATTTGAGAAAATTTTAAACTTACTTTATATTTGGATGCTGTGGCCATTGCCAAAGACTTTTCCTCTTCCATTTGCTTAAGTCTGTCTTGTAAAAATCTACAAGAAATCAGGAAAAAGAAGACACTCATCAAATGAAACATGTGAACACCAAATCAAAAATCAGCTCTTTAAGCATAAACAGTTACATAACATTCACTCCTCCCTGGTCTTTTGAATAGGAGTAGATGTTTATCCATTGTTTCCGGTTTAGGAATGGGTTTCATTTCCTTCTAAAGTCTCATTTTCTTTCACTTTCAGCAGCCAGTAACATATATATACCGAAATAAATAAAAAAAAAAAATAATAAAGTTTAAAATTTCAATGTCCCTCTCCTTTGTATCCATGTGTAGTTAAATCTACAGAAACTTTAGTCTTAAAGGATGAAATGGGTCACACAAAAAAATTTTGTCCACTTTGTCATTAATGTTCCTAACATTGTTCCATTATATAAAAAATTCATATATCATTTTCTCCCACAACCAAAAATCAAATTATTATATTTTGAAAATGGGTTATAACAAGAAATTTTTAGCTTCTCTCTTGCAAACTTTGCATGTAAGCACCTTGATTTTTAAAAAAAATTATAAATGCTTAAATATTTATATATCAATATGTTTGTACCTTCTTTTCTACCTCCACATGAGCAGAAGAGGAGAAAAGTATGTGTTTTTTCTTGGAGAGGTAAAATTATTAATTGGATTTTTGCACAAAGTGATGGAACCAGTCTTATTCATTGAGATACCTCAATACAGATCTAAATGGCAGTGATCAAGAATATTCTAATGTCATCTGATATATTTGTTTTATATGGGCTTTTGGGTGTATCAGGGCAATTGTCCCTGATTCCTACTCTCTTGGTAGGCCCACATATGATGTGCTTAATATAGTCAATTTACTTATAGTCATCAAAACACTTTAACTGTCATGTTATCTTATTACCCATTGATTCATTATTGATTCTATTAGCAGGGGAAGTTTCAGCCTATGTCACTCAATAACAGTAAAATGTCTCAATGCCAAAATGTTGAAAAACAGATATTTTTTCAGCCCCCACATAGAGAAGAATGCAGAAAAAAAAAAAATTTTTTTCCAAGAAACTTTTTCCATAAAGTTATTGAAAATTAAAGAAAAAATAATGGTGATGTTTTTTTTTAACAAGTGTAAATAAACTTGTCAAATGATAAACCACTATGTTAAAAACATGGAGGCATGGTATGGCATGACAGTGACATGGAAAATTGATTTGCTGAATTGTGCTTGCATTCCAGCTAAAGCAATTTCTTTTCACTTTATACTAAAGATTTTACCTGTCCAGTATAAAATTGGTATCTCAATTGTCAATTCTCATAGAGACCAATTAAAACTATAAATAGTAAGATTTCTGTTTTTAATTTTTTTTTTTTTTTTAAATATTAATATTATTATTTACATTTAGATTACTGTCCTCAAATTTATTGCTATTATCACAATGTTTTGGCTGTTGTGCCCTCAGGTCTTCTTTAGGTGTCTGTTGATCTGGGTAACATTTCTTTATTCAATCAATGAGGGTAGATCGATTTTATTCCACTGTCTATGTCGAAGGATATCTCTTATTATTTAGTACTGCTCAGTTATTACTTAACCTGTTTCCACTGAGTCTGTCTGGTCCAAGGATTGAACTCACAATTACTGTTACCAAATTCATGAATCAATGCTTTTTTTTAAGCTATTGAAAAAGGCCAGAGAGCACAATGACTGAAACATTGTGATAATAGCAACAAAGATGAGGGCATGAGTTTGAATGTAAATAATGATTACTCTGGAAATAACTTCTAGAAATGATAACTCTGGAAATAACTTCCAGAAATGATAACTCTGGAAATAACTTCCAGAAATGATAACTCTGGAAATAAGTTCTATAACTTCTAGAAATTCAGACAAAAATAAAAATTAGTTTGTAAATTGTAAAGACATATTGCAGACTTTTTGGCTTCTGTTAATTTTATATCAATAAAACTAAATGAGAACTGGTAGTAGAGTCATCCAGTTATATATTGTTTTTTTTTTTTTTTGTTCTAGATTTCAAACTATAAAAAGGTACATAAAAAAACAAAGTGGTAAATATCTGCAAACAGACTAACTTGTTTTCCATGACAAGAGCATCAATATCAAGAATTCTATTCTCATCTCCTTTGAGGATGAAATTTAATTCGGTGTTGAGTCTTTCATATTTTGTCTTGTAGGCATCTCGTTCTGTTTCTTGCTCTTCCTTCTCATCCAACACTTGCTGAAGGTCTCGTTCCAACTGTAAATACTGAAGAAAGAATTCACATTAAATTTATTACAACTTTAAGATTAACACTGTGTGTGTGTGTGTATATATATATATATATTGAAGAGTGGAAATTATTTTTTAATAAGATTTCTCAAACATTCAGCTCAGTAGGTGAAATAAAATATATTAATTAAAAAATGATCAGAGCACATACTCAAATACAAGTAACCACTAAAAATAACGTTTAACGTAATACAAATTTGTCAGATTAATAAAATAGAAATATAGATGGACTATACCACTGTTTTAACAGTAGGTTATTAATATTTTTATTTTACAAGCTTGCTGCATACATGAAACTTAGATTATTTAACTCTGTTATTTTATTACCACCAGCACTTTTGTGCAATTATATATATATATATATATATATATATATATATATTCTTCTTGTTTTTGTTTATCATGCAGGTGCAGGAACACCATCCACATTAGTGGGCCTCCTTCAAGGTAACTGGCTAGCATCCTGCATGGAATTTCTCACTATAGATCTCCAAATGCATCTGTCATGAGGGTAAACTTCCACTCTCTGCAATAATGTTCTGTCAGTTCTCTCCATAACAACTTGGGCCCCTCAGGCATTCATTTTCCTTTAACCTGAAAGTCGTGGGTGCATTTGATAGCACTGCTGGAATGCTACGATCTGTTGATGAGCTTGCCATAATACTAGTGGAACAATTTTTTTTTTTTACAGGATTGCCTGTCCTGGTTGTCACCCCAACTCAGACTTTAATGGCAACTGAGGACTCCGCCGTTCATACACTCAGGCATTGTGCTTCGACATTGTCCTCATAAAGGGATCATCTGCTGAACCACACTATTTACCCATAGCTGGGACACTAACAGGTGCTACTACCCTGGGTCAGGGTGCACCTGGGAACAACAGCAATTAAGAGGTGGTTTCACACACCTCAAAATCTCCAATCTTCCAATCAGAGGTCTTGCTGCCAGATTTATCATCATACCAAGACCTTTATATATATATATATATATATATATATATATATATATATATATATATATAATTTTGCTTCCAAAGGATCTTTTAGTTAGTCCTTGGTATGTTTACAGTTGTTTTGAAAGATATTAACGTCTTGCAATAATCCTTATGTGCATTAACAAGAGCGTGTCTCTTCTTTGCCATTCACCATTGTGAAACAAGGAAAGAGACTCTTGAATTTGTGAATCAACAGAAAAAAACAAAGGAAATACATTTATAATAAACAAAGTGCTCCCCAAATTAGAGAGAGTCACCTAATAATGTGAACCTCTTTCCTTCACTGGATAATGACAGATATGCAGATGAAATTATTGCAGGTACATTTCAGGGTTTTCCCCGACTTTTTTTTAGTGTGGCTGGAGGAACCTTACAAATTTCAACAAAACCCATTTCACACTATTACAAAACCATCTCAGTTTGCACAACACTCTGCTGATGGGCTGGATCCATAGCTCCAAGTGGTTTTCTCCACCCCTGCCACTACGATGAACCATTAGTACTAGTTTTGAACTGGGATGTGATTTGAAGCAATGTTCCATTTTGTTAGGTGGGGTGGGACTGTTACCTTACCATTTTTAGGGCTTATACACCTTTTGCAGGTTATTTAAAGTCAGAAAATATTTTTAGAGTGTAAGAATTTTTTGGGGGAGATAATAATGATTTAGTGATACAAGTCTTACTAATTAACCCATAGCTGGAGAGAAGAATTAATGGGTATTTGCACATGCTTACACAGCACCTGGTATTCTCAAGTGGTCAACTCATCTAGGTACTGACCAAGCTCGAAGTTGCTTAACTTTGGTGATCGTATGGGAACTGGTTACATTTCTGACATGCAAACATTTAAAAAGAAAAAAAAAAAAAAAAAAAAAGAGAAAAAAGGAAAAAAAGAAAAGAAAAATGAAATAAAATCTAGCTGTTATTAATCATTACTTTATATTCTTATTTCTTTGCCAAAATTTCTTAGTTAAAACTCATGTGCCTACTAACTTTTTCTTTTTGAGCTTCTAGCTGTTGTACAAGATCTTCCCGTTCATAGGCAGGAAAGTGACGTGTGTTGATGCCTTCATCAGTTGTTCCAACCCTCTGACGGGCAATCTGCTCTCTCAGCAGCTGAAACATAAATAAATAAAAAAAGAAAGATTCACCAAGAGGAATGATTAAGCATTAAAAACTTATATTATCAAATTTGATTGATATTTTCACTCTTCTCAATTGAATAGTTTAATGAAAATAACTCATCTTTTACTGACTTGAAGTGGAGTGACTACATCGAATCAATAGCTGCATCTACTGCAAAGAAAGTTGGGTCACTGCGTCATGCCAGAAAATCTTTCTTGTAAGAGTCCATTTTGCATATTTAATGAATACTGCTGCTATATCTGGTTTGGTTTATTTTGTTTTACGGCATATCAACCCTTTTAATGCCGACAACATTTTTAGGATAGGTTCATATGAATAGAATATGTATTTGTAAGAAATTCAATAAGAAATCATTTGATAGATTAGTTTTCATTGATGTACTTTTGTAAAGAGGGCTTTTGTCAAATGTATTGCTGGTAATATTTTTTTTCAAAAATGTATTGTTGGTATCTATTTTTATACTTTCATAGTGTTTTGACCCCTGTTTGGGGGGTTAACTATTTGTCCATATCTGGGACCCTAACAGGTGCTACTACTACCCCACGTCAGGGTGGACTTGGGAACACCAGCAATTAAGAGGTGGTTCTATGCTCCTCAGAACCTTCTGATCAGAGGCCTTGCTACTGGATATACCCAGGATATATCTGGTCTGGTGCCCCTGATATTCATCTCGAGGTTCTTGACAAAATTCAAAGAAGGATCTGACTTGTCATCTTGACTTCAGTGAAGTGATGTGGCTTCCCTCTGTCTTTTCTACAAATATTTTCATGGTAATGGCTCTGACGAGCTTTTTTTTCCCCTAGTGCCTCAACTACATGAATTTAAGCATGCTACTAGACTGGCATTTAGGTCCCACCGGTTTACTATTGAAATAGCTTAATGCAACTGTTACTTCTACTCCAACAGTTTCTTTTTTCACACTTTCCACCTGTGGAACTCCCTTCTGTTTCTTTGCTTCCCTGATAAGTACAATCTTCAAAAATTTAAATGCAATGTCAATTGCCATCTTCTATCATCTTGAATCCCATTCATCTTTCTCCTTTCCTCAATCATCACTATAGTCTTCCTCTCACTTTCACTCCCTGTAACCCCCCACCCCACTGCTTACTAGTGGCATACTCACCTTGCTTGGGGTGACATGTGAAAATGTCAGAAAGAGCAAGTTTTACCTTGATGTCTCCTTGGGCATCGGCAAGTTTCTGTTTCATGTCTTCTACCTCGAACTGCAAAGATTTGCTTTGGTCCCTTGAGTCACAGAGAAGCTTGCGAATATTCTAGAAAAAAAAAGAAAAGAAAAAATTTTTCACTTATATATGTAGATTTAGGTGTACTGTTTATTTTTTTAACACTTTTCAAAATGTATAGATATTGGTAGTTATGAGTTAATCAGTAGGAACTGCTAGTATGTAAATAAAATAAATATTTACAGCAAGAAAAAAATGCAACTGAGAGGATTTGTTGAAAAGCTATTTGTAGGAAAACAATGTAAAAAATTTACATGTTACTTTTCTATGACTATTATAAGAGTAAACATGTTAAATTATTAACGTTTCCCTAGTTTAACTTTCATGTTGCTTTTTTTTTTTTTTTTTTTTAAGTTAATTGGTCTATTGTAATGAGTGTAAAATAATAATAACTCCCTTCACTCACTTCCTTCAAATTCAGGTGAGCTGAGGAAGAAGCGGGAAAGGAATTTGCAAGCCTATGTGAAATTTTCTTTAGACCAATGAAAGAAGGGATGCAATTTGTGAGCTCATATGTAAATTGTTTTTGGACTAATGAAAACCTTGCTTTCACAGAAATTAGCCAGAAGAAGGAAATAAATTTGGGAGTCTGTGAAATTCCTTTTGATATAAAACAAGGAAAAAAATTAAATTAATCAGAGAAGTTATGTGAAAAGTTTTGTTTCAGTTCCTTGTGACAGGAGTTGAAATTATTGCCAGTGTAAAATTACTCAACAATTATATTATCGGCTCCTAACCAAGTATGCAGCGCTTCAAAGAATTTTCTCTCAACAATCCAAGAAAGCCGAGTATTTTAAACTATCTCACTTTGTCTACTTTTGAAAGTATACAAACCATCTCTTCAGTGAGCAACAAACTCTCTTACCATTGTTTAAAACATTTTTGAATATTATTTTGTGTCAGATCATTTAATCTGTGGTATGAACATTTTCTCTTCATGACAATACATTATGCAATTTAAAAATTTGTTTTATTTTCCTGAAACAAGCTACTGACACAATTCCAAGCATGTAAATTCATAAATAAATTTATTATAATTACCTGTGTGTTTAGTCATCATTATCATCCCTTATTCTTCGAATGGGTAAATCAACTGTTTATTTTAACCCCTAAGTCCTACACCACTATAACTATGACTGTTAATGTGAATTAGAAATAAAGATTAATGCTTTGGGCAAGATTTTAATGTGCATCCCTATTTTTGAGAGTTTAATTTTTTTGTGACAGCAAAACCGTTATTGTTTTTGCCTATAAGGGTTTTACCATGAGGTAAAACTATATAGTTATATTCCTCGTTTCTCCAATTACTCTCACATCATCACACTGTTTATCATTTATGCTAGTATTATTAAGCATAAACAGTATACAAAGCATAGTCATTGTTATTAAATTTTTACTAGCTTTTCAGCTTTCTGTTGCTTTTTTTTTATCAATTCTCAGACTTTTATTCCATAACTATTAATAGAAAACAAATCAAAAATGAAAAAAAAAAAAAAAAATAGCCTTGTAAACTATTCAAAGATAAAAAAAAAAAGAATTAGAAAGAAAAAATATCATGTTGATATTTCTTGTAGTAAATAATACAATTATTCTAAAGTTGTCAAAGTATAAGATTAATTATTAACCCTTTCATTGCTGTGTTTAAGAAAAATAGGAAATTACCATATAGTGCAAATAACATTATGATGCTGACATTAATTTCTCTTGAGTGCTACCATTATGGTTTTGACTGGATACTCTACAGTAAAAATGAAGCTAAATGAAACTCCAACGCAATAAAAACCCATTATATGATATATTTTTTATTGTGTTGGGAGTGTTAGCTTCATTTCTATCAATGTACATATAAACGTTTTCAAGACATCATGAAAGTAGGTTTTGTAAAGATGTTTAAATATATCTACAGCAGCAGAAGTGTTAATAGGATTTAAAAAAAAAAAAAAAAATGAGGAAATATATCTAGATGAGCAGTTCAATATTAGATTAATCAACTGTAATTTTAAAATTGAATTTTCCCTTAAAAGATAAGAGTTCCTTATACCTAATTTTAGACCAGGTGTTCATTCAATATACTCAGAATACCTAAAAACCCATAGAATAAAAAAAAAGATTTAAGAAATGAACAGTTTTATCTGCTCATTAAGCACCTTCAATGAACAAAAAAGCTGTTCTCAGTTTTTGAAAAATTCTGCTTTACAAGTTTGCAAGTTCCTAAAGTTATTGCAAGCACATTGATAGCCTTTTTTTTTTCAGGTGAAACATGACCCCATTTCCAACAACCACTGTCAACTTAACCCACTCTCAAAAATATTTGCTGAGGCTAGCTTGGACACTAGATTATGTAAAGTTTAACATTGGAATTTATTGGGTTGGCCAAAATATTTGTTCTTTTCTTGTTATTATATACTATGAGTGTTTAGTTTTAACTAACTTCATTCAAAATGATTGCTTTTGCTTGTATTGCAACAGCTGTTAATATTAATTTAAAAAAATGTATACTAACAAAACTGGTATATTTTTTGTTTATTGATTGTGACATCGAAAATGAAAGAAAGACCACATTTTTGGTATATTAACTTTTTTTTAAATTTAAGAAAGATTTTAATATAACTGGAATGCAAAAAAATAGAAAGAAAAAGATTTTGGCAGTTTATGGAGAAGGTAGTGTGACTGAATACGTCAAAAGTGGTTTGTGAAGGTTCATGGTTGAGATTTCTTGCAAAACAACGCACGATAGCCAGCTAAATCAACTGAGGCTGAAGTCATTATTTGAATTAATACTTTATGATGCAGTAGAGAGCCTTCTGACTTTAAGACAAATAAGAATAAAAAATATGGTGGATGAAACCGAGAAGTGGTCTGGTCTATCTTATTGGTAAGAAGAAATTACAGCATGCACCTGTACAATTTATCTATAAATTTGGTGAGGGAATGTTTTCAGCATTTATTCCACACAGGACTTGAAACCAATAATTTTGAATATCATATTTGTCTTAAAGTCAGAATGCTACAATCATGTGTCTGCATCCCTTTTGTGTATTAATACCATTCTTACTTTCTGAACTATTTGCCTTGTTACTGTTGCTTTGCCTAGTTTTGTCTTGCATATATGTATATATTGTTTGCTTAGTATTATTTTGCTCCGTTCTTTTTTTTCTTTTGTTATTGATTATTAGAAACTTTGTCAATTCCATTTGTTTGACATTTTTGCCAATTACACTTAACCATGGTCAATTGGTCTAAATCAAATGCTGAAACTCATTTTCACTAGCTTGGCTATGTTAGCTGCTTTCATGTGTGACTTCCACATAAATCAAGGAAAAATAAAAATAACCTGCTGGGTTACATTTAAATTTTTTATTTTCTAAACAAATTTTGACATGCAATAAAAGGTGGATATTTTACAACATAGAATACAATAAATCATTTAGATCATTTGGATTCATGCTTATTTAAGTGTGAAAAGAAGTTTCTTAACAAAAACTTCTGTGGGAGACTGCAAAAATCACCTAGAGTAGTTCTTTGCTGACAAAAAGGAAAAGTTCTGGAATTATGAAGGTGTTTGAAAGATGGAAGAAGATAAAGAAACAAAATGGTAAATATTGTGGGTGACAAATTATTTTCCATCATATAATCCGTTTCTCACAGAAGAAACATTGCAAGCCTCTCCCTGCTCTATCATTCTTTCCATGAAAAGTACTCAGATGAACTACATTCCTTAGTTCTACCAGTCTTAACCTTCATGGCCAAGACTCACCATGTGACCCACACCTTAATATTACTTGGTGACGTGTAGATTCAATTTGAGTAGCTTCTTTTCATGAACCACTGCTTTGCAGAACTGACTCCTAAGAGGATGCTTTCCCGATTACTATAATCTTAACCTGTTCAAGTCTAGGATTAACCATTATCTTCCCCACATATATGCATAAACTATGCTTCTTACTCTGTAACTTTCTCGATTGGCTCTCAGCCTTTTACAGGGTGAACAGCATTGTAAACAAACAAAAAAAAATTTTTTTTTTTTTTACTTAATAAACTTTTTATATCAAGCCAATTCTATCACCCTAAGTATTGTCTACACTTTATTTTGTTGGGTGTGGGACAGATAACTAATGTAATACTTTTGCACATGATTATTTAAAACTTAAGCTATGAAAGAATTCTTAATTAATAATTAACAGTTATAATGAATATGGCACTAATTGTTATAATAATAATTATTATAGTACTGCTGTGTAGCTGTACTGGTCCATTTTGGAAAAAATACAAAATTGTCATCTACTAAAAATAAATAACTATAAAGACACAGATAGCAATATCCCATGGGTGCTGCTCTTTTTGTTTCGATCAGATACTCTGCAGTACAAACTAAGCTAAATGATGACCTCAACACACAATATAATAAAAATGTGTCATACAAAAAAAGTTGTTTGGTATCTGTGCTGGAAGCTCTAATACAAATATTTCTAAGGACAGTGCAGAGTACCTGGAAAGAGTCGGATGAGTCTAAATGGTGATTTGGAAGATATGGCAGCTTGGAAAACTAAGTGATCGTTCTGATAAGAAAAAATTCCTGAATTTGTTAGTAAGGGTCTCAAACTTAACACAGGGTTCTACATCAAGTGCTTTGACATGGTAGTGTGGTTCTGGGTCAAGAGAGTGGCTGCTAGTAGACTATGTCTGGTAGCAGGACTCTGCACCATGCCACACAAGCAGGAGAACCCAGTCATGGCTATCAAACAATTTCTGCAACCACATCACCCCTTACATCTGGTCACCTAACTTCCCAGACTGCAACCTCCTTTGATTATTATGTGTGGGATGCAGTTGAGCGAGAGATCAACAAAACTCCTTGTAACACCAAAGATGAACTGAAGGCAAGCATTATGGGAGCATTCATCAAATTAAACAAGGAAACTGTCTAAAAGAGTTGCAGGAGATTCTAAAATAGTGTGGATGAAGCCAATGGCGATTTTATTTAATACATATACTCTTTAGTATTTCAAGGTATTTTTGTGTAATTTTAGTAAATATATATTAAAATGAGATGTCTATGTTATTTTCATTTTTATATAATTTAGATGACAATTTATCAATCGCACCCTGTATGTCTACATTAGTTTGGAAATAGCACTATGCACTAATTAGCTTATAACACAAACAGTAGGGACTGGCATTTCATGGTATCATGAAACTGTGTATATATGTAGACAGCAGGCAATGTAAGTTTTATAAAACTGTGCAAGTACATCCATGGCAGTGAAACTGTTAAAAGTAAGTAAGTTTTTTCTGTGTTTTTACACTTTGATTTGTATAATTATTTTGATTTTACAGAGATCATTGATATGTTTTTTTTTTTTTAAAGTATTGTTAACCAAATACAAGGCCAAAGAGAAACTCAAGGCAGAGGGTTGCAAAGTGAGGTTGTTGTAAAGGTGTATTTTTATAATGTGATATCAAATAAATGCTGATCAGGGGAAACAAACAAAATATTTTAAGTAGAAAAATAAAAAAACAATTTCAAAATAAAAATAGTCAAAAGGCTACAAAAGAAGTTGCTTGATTATTTACATTCGGATTAATGTCCTTGTTGTTAGTGAGTATAAATAATGATAACCCCTCATCCCTGATATTCAGACAGAAAGAATTTTGATGTAGCAAAAAACAGAGAACAAAGAATAGAATTAATGTTTTGAGAAAAAGACAAAAAAAAAAAGAAGTCAACTTACCTGTCCATGTCCCTCCTCATGATGCCCACCACCAGAGCCAAAAGAACCCCCCAAATCCTATAGAAAGAAAGAAAGAGCATAAGAACAGTCCACCAATTAGTTCTCTTTAACTTTCTTACATAGAATTATTGTTATAGTCTAAGGATTTCTGAACTTGCCTTGAAGGTGTGTTATTTTCAGAAAAAAAAAAAAATGAAAATGTTTTATCAGCATTTTTTCAATCATGTCATTAATATGGAGCAAATTTTTATGCTTACCTTTGATTTTGAAATGAAATTTCAATTAGGTGAAGTGATGTCAAGTTTCTAATTTTGGAACAAGCATTCAACATCTTTTGAATTACCGTTACCTCAAAGCAACACTTGCAGCATGAAAAGAACTTGGAACTTTTGAGAACTCACCAATAATCAAAGATTAGTCAATCTTGATGTTTTGGAATAAGTTTATTTCTGCTATAAGTTCTAACAAGTAGAAAACACAAACACAGGAAGACTATTCCATACAAACAAATGCCTGTCCATTAGAGTCACAAAATTCAGTCTAATAATAATTATGCATTTTAGATAAGAAAAATACTATTTATGCTCTCATATAAATATGTAACCTCTAAAAATATCAAAGTTTTGTTTCTGTGGAAGGAGTAATTTTAAGAAACTTTTTTTTTTTTTTTTTTACATGAGCATACCCTAATTCAGTTTTGATAGCTCAATTTAAAATTTGGGGATAAAAATATTCTTTTGTTTTAGGAAAGTGTTTAAGCTGGAATATGGAGATAAAAGATAAATTACAATTTGAAATAACTTTTTGTGAAAAGTTCAAAGAAATTTTCAAAAATAATTTACTGTTACTTTGAGAATGTACTGTCAGCTTTTATAATGCAAGTCAATGTTTTCACAATAAAATAATACTGGTAAAATTTTCAGGATATATTTATATAATAAATATATCAAGTGAGTATTAGCATATATCTATCCTTATTGAAAACTTATTTTCAAAATGTCAATTTTTATTATAGAAATAGCAGCATAAATTTTTATTTATAAATAAATCCAAATTTATAATTTTTTTCATATAGAAATAAATCCAAGACTTAAACCATAGAAACAGGTTTGATTAACTCAGTATCCCATATACACAAATAAATTATCTTACATATTATGGGCTCCTTGACATTCTATAACCTTCATTAGTCTTTCAACCATTGATTTTGTTGATTAACAAAATTTTTACTGTTTTAACTTTAACATTATTTATAACAGTTTTTACTGCTTCCCAGTTTCTCACTACTCTTATCACAATTTCCATGGCAAATATTCTGATGAGCTACATTTCTTGATTCCAACGGTTCTTACCTTCACAGCCAAAATGCGCCATGCCATGTACACTGGAATGAATCATCCCAATTCCTTTTGTGTTCCATTAGTAAGAAGGAAGTTCCATTTAGACAGCTTCTTCCCAAGAACAACAACTTTATGGAACTGCCTCTCAAGAGGATGCTTTCCTGACAATCCATGATAATCTTAACCTCTTCAAGTTCAGGATTAATCATTATCTCTCCTACATATCCTCATAAACTGCACTTATTACCTCCCCCTCTTACATTCATACAACAATCTCATTCAGTAACCCTCTACTTTGAGTAGTTCTCAGGCCTTGTATTGAGTGAAAATATATATATATATTATATATATATATATAAAGGCATCTTTGTTTAAATATTGTTTTCCATTCTTATATACAACTAGCAGCATGGCCCGGCGTTGCTTGTGCTTGATTCAAAAATCGTACGACTCATACAGCAATCGCTATCACTTGATTTAAAATATTTTTGCCCTTCCTTGCCTTTAAAGGAGTGTCCTTTGCCGTGCTGATGTTGCTACATGCCTTACTTCTTGCCTATCTCACACTGCAAATTTTTTTCTAAGCTCTATACTAAACATTAAATCTGTTCTAAAAAAAGAACTAAACAAAATGAACACAAAACGATCAGCTTTAAAAAAGGACTCGTAACTGGAAAAACCGAATGAAAAAAAAGAATGTTAACAACAAATACATTTTCACACTCAACCCAGTTCTGCAGAATCAGAATCAACATTGAGTTTAAGCAAGCGAATGAGCCAATTGGAGTAAAATGCCATGCAGATTTAAATTTTTCCCCACTTGTGACGAATGCAGCTATAGATTTTTTTTGCATGTTAGTTAACATTTGTGTCAGTCAGCTGTTGGCTCTCACACTGGCCAATAGAATCTTCTTGCCTATTCGTGGCAGCCAGCTATAGGCTCTCACTCTGGCCAGTAGAAAATAGCCACAAACTACATGAAAACTGGCATAGATGCATGAAAAAATTGATTATTTCCACTATCGATGGGAGTTGGGAAATGCAAAGTTGGTCTTGGCCTTCCTGCTAACTTGGAGCATGTGCATGTAAATTTTGGTGCAAATCCGTCGAAAATTGCAGCCGTGAATTCATTACACACACACACACACACACACACACACACACACACACATCCTGCCTTTTATAGATAGAGATTCTTTTAAGTTTTCTACTGGATTAATATTTGGAGAGCCAGGTGGCGTTCCATTAATCTGATGTCTTTGAAAAGCTTTGTCAAGGTGGGCAATAGTTATGTTTGCAGAATTTGAAGTAGCATTGTTTTGCATAATTTTATTTAAAGTTTCTTAATTATGACCTTACTACTCAAAAACCATCTTGACCAAGGTTAGAATAATTTTATGCATTTATCTTGATATAAACATCAAATTTGAAGGGACTATACTTTTATTGCCTATAGTAAAAGCCTCCCAAAATTGACCAACTCCTTCCTGTTGTCTTCTAACATGGCTGTTTAAAAGCCTTGTTTTTGTCATACAGGAAAATCCAACATGGCGCATAAACAAAATATTCGACGAAAAATCTCATAGAATGTAAAGTTCTTAAAGCAAACCTATGCCAAACTGTTTTCCTGAATCCTTGATGACTTGGCTGTCCGAAAATGACAACATCAAGATGAAATAATGGAAACTGACTGTGAAAAACACAATTATGTGCAACAAGTTTTTGATCAATCAGTAGACTTCTGGACCTTTTCAGGCGATGTTATAGGATCCAGACAGCTATTGTTTGCACATGGAATTATTCATTGGTAATTGATCTTTGATTTGGCTGTGGAAGATGTCACTCAGTGGTTAGCATTAAGAAATTATGCCCAATTTTCTGAGAAAAATCAGTTTTTTTTTATGAAAAAATATTTATTTTCACTTCAAAATAATATCATTCAAACTTCATCTCTTTCTCTTTCATTTGGCATGAACATCATTGAATAAAAGGAACGGCTAAATGGCTCAGCGATGGGAAATACGAAAGATATGCGGTGAAAAAAAAAAACAATGTCGTCTGCTAAGTGTTGTTGTCATCACCTGGGTCACGGGGTGTTAAAAACAAAACACATCAAGCCATTGTTCAAACATAGGTTATATCAAACTCTACTAATGTTGACCCCTTTTTTTCACTCTTTGCTCTTATCTGGGAGTGGTGGGATTTATTACAACTTGCTCTAAACGTTTATTGCTAGCTGGCAATCTTTTTTTTTTTTTAAAAATCATTTCACCCCAAGCAAGGCAATAAAGCAACAAGGATGGAATGGGTTGCTGGGTGTTAGAGAATAAGAAAAACTACTATTAAGGAAAGAAGACAATAAAAGAACAAGTATTAAGAAGACAGAAGATAATAATTGACATTGCATTTAAATTTTTGAAGATCAAAATTAACCGGGAAGCAAGAAACCAGAAGAGAGTTCCACAAGCAGGAAATACAATAGAAGAAACTATCAGCATAGAACTTATGGTTACAGAAAGCCGCCATTTTGACTGTAAAATGATGAGACCTTGCTGACAATCTGGTACTGCACTTAAATTCATAAAGTCTAGGTACCATAGAGGAAATTTCATCAGAACAATTATCATGAAAGTATTTATAAAAAAGAGAGGAAATCTACATGACAGGAAAGGGACTGAGGCTGAGATGCCAGGTCTGGACCAATAACAGATAATTCTTTGGATTTTATCAAGAATCTCTAAATATATAGCAAGAGCACTAGACTAGATGTGGCACCAATATCCAAAGTAAGGACAAATGGTAGACTTGAAAATATGTAAGATTGATTCTGGTGAGAAAAACTGTCTAGCATAATCTAATTTCCTCCTTAATTACCCTTTTAATTTTTAAAAAATTTCTTTTCATGATATTCTTAAGGCTACTACTTTTTTTCTTGACAATGTTTTTCTTCTGATCTCTATTCAACTTTTTCAATTTCCAATAACTTTTACAATATTTCTATTTTTTTGCATTTATACGTTTCTTATGACACTTGGCAATCTTTACATGTCTGTATTAGATATTAATAAGGATACTATTATAAATAATTATTTACAATATTTGGTTGGTTGATTTTGTTTAGTGGCATAACAACCTCTATAGGTCATTTAATATCAAAATCTAAATATTTTGAATGTAATTGTATGCCTTTAACCATAGATAAAATGTATTGTTGGTAATTTTTTATATAAAAATGTATTACTAGTATTTTACTATAAAAATGTACTTTTATATTTTCCTGGTGCTTTGTTTTTGTTTGGTGGAGGGGGGAATCACTATTTACCCATGGTTAGGATCCTAACAGGTGCTACCACTCCAAAGCAGAGTGAACCTGGGAACAACTGCAATTAAGAGGTGGTTCTACACTCCACAAAACCTCTATATCTTACTGCTGGATGTAGTTTGTCATCATACCCAGGACTGCTATTTACAATATAATGAACAACCCTCAACGTATATAATTAAATATCAATAACTATACTATTATAAATAAATATTTACAATATTATGAACAACCTTTGAGCTGAATAAATATGCTGAAAGTTTTACCAAGTTTAGTTAATACTAATTTTATTGTGTAAACAGACTTGCATAAACTGACAGTATAATAATACTATATCAATTATTATAATTACTATGGACACCAAGTGGTTTACCTTTAACAAAATTGTATGTTGGTCAAGCAAACAAACCACTGCTACTATGACTGTGAAACAGAAATGAAAATAAGTAATTATGAAGCAGGAACCATATACATCGCTTTTCGTGACTCTACTTAAGCACTTATTGAAGTCTTAATATATTTCAGCACAAAAATAAAATGAATTAAAGTTATTTATTTCTATATGTCTAAAATTATAATTTCTTTGTAGGTGATAATGTTTTTCTGTTAAATATGGAAAATTATAGTGTCTTATCTTTAGTTCAATAACAAATTAAAATTTTCACAGCAAAATGTTTTTCTCATACAAAAACCAGGATTTCAACATGATATGGCCATAATCCAACTGATCTTGACGTGGGTAAATCTATTAAGGCAATGTCTATGTAAGATGTATTTCCAGGATCTAGGATGTTAGTTCAAGTCTTGCCAGAGGTAATGTCATTTATTTCTGATTCATAACTGAAGAGTAGACAAACCTAAAGTGTTTTGATAAAAACCAACATTAAGACAAAAGAAAAAACAAGGGAATTCATTCATTTTTATTTCATCTAAAATGTTTGTAAAAACAAAGAAAAATCTTTAAATATCTATATAAATTAAGATTTGGTAACATGAACAAATTTGATTAAAATTACAGTGGATACATTATTTGAATATATTCTATTAATCAATTTCAGATAAAATAAAAACTTTTTATTGAAAATTATTAATAAGATACAATATCCAAACTGAGTGGATACCAATTTAAAATAAAATTTAGTTAACTTATAATTTATGGAGAAAGATAAAAATTACATGGCATTTAAAACACATCAAATTATTAATTTGCAAAGTTTTGGCTTTTAAGCATCTATATATTAATATGCTTGGTGTGTGAGAGAGAGACAAAAAGAGAGATGGACAGAGAGACAAAAGAGAGATGGACAGAGAGACAAAAAGAGAGATGGACAGAGAGACAAAAAGAGAGATGGACAGAGAGACAAAAAGAGAGATGGACAGAGAGACAAAAAGAGAGTATGACAGAGAGGGACTGGGAGGTGATCATCTTAGATAAAAGCTGTTTGTAGTGAAGGCTTAAATCACGTTTTGTGACCTCTCAATCTGTTGAGCACAATTTCATCCCAGAATTGCAAATGACCTTTTGAAATGAAAATCTTTAATAATTATAATCATTTTGTAATATAATAAAAATAGATAATGATAAAAAATCTTATTAAACCCAGGTGTGTTGAGCATCTGAGAGGGAAACAAAAAGAGAGAAGGACATAGAGTGACAAAAAGTGAGCGTGACACAGAGAGAGATTGGGGGAGAAGGTTAACTTAGGTAGTTTTTTGTAGTGAGGGTTTAAATCATGTTTCATGACCTAATGATCTGTTGAGGATATTTCAGTATTTTTAAGAGACTATTTTTTTTTTTTTTTATAACTAACTGGGAATAGTCATGGGCTAAAAGATTTATTAGTAAATCCATATAATTTACATTGGTCCTGCTTAGAAATTTTATAACCTTCAAGTAAGATACATTCAAATAGAGACATGCATTTTTCTGTTAAACAATATATTCTTGTGTTTAATACTATGTCTATATACAAAAGTATTAAGTAGTCATTCTGAGTAAAAGTTCAAGCTGAAGTAGTAAAAGGAGTAATTAAGAAATCTTCTTATGTCTAGTCTATTTCCTGTTGCATGAAAACTGTCTTCATAAGAAGAAACTATTTTTTTAAAACACCTAAACAATTTCTGGAATATAAAAATTTTGTATTTACACTTTATATGTTTTCTTTTTCTTTCCTTTTTCTGTGGACGAGTTGGATATTTTTACAAGGTCAACTTACACCCCCTCAACCTTCCACAAGTTAGACAAAAATTCATATTAAAATAAAAAGCAGAAAATGCCACAGTTGCTGTTTAAATAGGTTCTTGCTGAAAAAAACCATTGGACAATTAAGGAATCAGAGGGGAAAACCACAACAATGGGTTTAAATATATATTCATGAGTATTTCTAGGTTTAATTCTTTTTCGCAAGTATTGCTGTGAAGTAACAATAAGAACAGGTTATAAAGAATTAAAATATTCTGCCACTCCAAGTTATCGGTACATCTTTATTCAAGTAATTTTTTAAAGAGATTTTTCAAAGAAAAGAGTAGAATAAATAGAATATTATTTAAAGTGGAGATAACCTTTCCAGCCAATTGCCGCTTAAGAGTCTGGTAGCGTTCCTGCAACTGTTCAGCCATCAACTTGAATTGATCTCGTTCGCTTCGACATTGGTCCATTTCTCGGCTCAGTATGAGAAGAGCCTCACATTTACTGTCAAGTTTTCTCCGACATGCTTGATGCTGAAAGTGAGATTAATAAAAAAAAACATGATTGATTGAATGATTGATTTGTTTAAGTGCATATCAACAACTTCATGGGTCCTTTAATGCTGAAACTTAATTTTCTTGGGAGATTTGAAGTAATAAAAATTTGATATACGTTATTCTGCTTTCACAATTGAATGCATGGTAGATGATACTCAGCTTCTGTACATATACATGTTTATGTGGACATATTTACTAGAGGCGGTGCATTTTATGTTGTAGTTTTGTTGAAGTTTGATTTATGAAATTGGAGGATATTATATGAACTAATGTCATGAAAGAGTTCTTTCGTGCTGGTTGATTTTGTTTGGTAGTATCAACCCCTAAGGTTTATTTAATGCTGAAATATAAATATTTTTATTTAATTTTATGTTTTCAACTGCAGATATTTTGTATGTAATTTTATACTTTCAAAGTGAAGGTATGATTTTTAGATATTTTGTAGATGATAAAATATAATAGATAATTTTACTAGAAAAATGTATTGTTGGTCATTTTATTATAAAAATGTACTGTTGGTTTTTGTTTGGGGATTTCATTATTTGCCCATAGGTGGGACCCTAACAGGGTGGACCTGGGATGACAAAGGTGGTTCCACACTCTTCAAAACCTCCAATTTTCTGATCAGAGACCTTGCTGCCTGATGTAGTTTATCGTTATACCTAGGACGAAATAAAAAAAAACAAAAAAACAAAAAAACAAACAAGTAAGTTTTTCTGTTTTCCTAAATTTTTTTATAGAAGATAACATTTAGTAACCAATGTAATTATATGAGGATTCAAGCAGGGAGTCCATGATCATCTGGTGTCAGATTGTTAATAGCAATCCCTTTTGAAATGCTTTTTTTTTTCTTTAAGACCAGTGAATCTGTAATTGCAACACAGAGATCTTTTCATGCTCATTTCATGTTATGTCAGAATGATGTGGTTCTAGATAGAGAACTGATACTGCTATGGGTTGAAAATGCCAGGGCCACAAGTTTAATGCTTAAAAGAAAGCCACCTGGAAGACCTAGAAGTACTGATACTCCAGAAAATGTTCAGGCTGTGAGAGAGAGTGTTGTGCAATTTCTTACACACTCAGCCTGTAAACATGCTTCTCTTTTGGGATTGATTGAGCAGTCAGAAGAATTTTACACAATGATCTGAAGTTCCATTCATACAAATTTATGGGTGCTCAGGAACGGCATTAACATATCTGGGAAAATTTCGTGGCATGCTGTGATGATATCCTTCAAAATGTTCCTACAAATCCTGTTCTTCTCACATGTGTCAATAAGTAGAATTTTTGCTACTTGGTGGAAAATAACCCTAGGCAGTGAACAAGTGACTGTGTGGTGTGCAGTTGCAAAATTTGATGTATGTGGTTCTTTCTTTTTTGAGGTGGGAGACCACTTGCTTACAGTAACATTTTACCAGTATGTGAAAAGGCTACAGACCTTTCTGGAACCAAAACTCAGAATCTTTGGGAGTCTGGATGTGTGGTTTCAACAAGATGTAGTCACTGCCCACACAGCAAGAAGATCAATGCAAGCTTTGAGAAACATGTTTTCCAGGACATTTGATTGCCTTATGCAATAATGCTTGCTCCCTGCAATTATTTTCTTTGGAGTTACTTGAAAGCTGAGGTCTACAAACATCAACCAACAACCACTGAAGAATTAAAGGAGGTTATTTTCCAAAAAGTGTCAGAAATACTGCCAGAAATTACTCTTAGAGTGATGGAAATAATATACAACAATGTCTGGTGAATTCTATGTCTGTTTGAGGGGTGTCATTTTTAAAACCAAATGAATAAAAACTATTATTGAAAGTGGAGATAACCTTTCCAGTCAATTGCCACTTAAGAGTCTGGTGATGTATAGAAGTCACCATTTCAAGAATGTCATTTTTAAAACCAAATGAATAAAAACTATTATTGAAAGTGGAGATAACCTTTCCTGTCAATTGCCACTTAAGAGTCTGGTGATGTATAGAAGTCACCATTTCAAGAATGTCATTTTTAAAACCAAATGAATAAAAACTGTAGGCCTTTGTTTAAACAACAGTGAACTATTTTTTTTTTTAATACCAGTTACCTTAGTTTTTTGTCAACCATTTAAATATGGGAGGTATTTCTACAGCACCTTGTAGAAGACTGTTGCCATAAAGAGATATACCTGGCCTTCATTGATACTGAGGCAATTAGCACATGAAAAAGTACCCCTATATGAAAAAACACAATTCAGTGTTTCTCAGCAGAATGTTGCCTAAATCACATACAAACTGTTGTTTTCCTACAGTGCCTTCTGGTACATTCTCTAGGACAATAATATGCCTTACCACTCACCTTATTTGGGTGAAAGTAATACTCTTTGATTCAGGCACCCTTCTTCCATGATATGTGTTTGTTGAAACATACTTTGAGCAATGGATGTTTGTTAACATGGGTGACACAAACCTATATGCAACAAGAATCAATGTAATCTTCTCTTCAGTTTCATTAAAGCTCAGTAATTTGTGCCACAATATCCACTCTGTTGGCTCATACTTGGAAGGAAAGTCTCTGTTTACTTTTCATATTGATAAATAATATCCAGCAATTGGTTTTTCAGTAATTAGAGATTTTCTTTTCCTCCTGCCAATAAGTAGTAACCACAACTGAACAGGAGTATCTTACAAATTATGCTATTTTGAAAAATCCTTTGACTTAAACTTCTGAACACAGCAACTTAAACTTTATTGAAGTCACTCATATGTTCCTTTGTGCTCATAACTGTGATATTCAGTACATCAAAAGGAATTACTTGAGGCTAGTTTACCTTATTATGTTTAACTGACATGAAAAGTTATGTGACAGTAGCTGTCATTCTTATAAAATTTTGATACATCAGTGTGTGTGTGTATATATATATATATATATATATATATATATATATGCATACATACATACATACATACATACACACACACACACACAAGATTCAGATATAAATAAAATATATCTGTAAAGACAATATAAGTAAAAGACAAAACTTTTCTTTACCAATGTGTTTCATCCCCTGAAAACTATGATATTATTCCTCCACTTTACTTCTGTGTATACAATAAAAATTACAAAATAAAATCTCTACATTTACCTTGATAAAGTTTCTCAGGTGATGAAACACATTGATAAACAAGTTTTCCTTTTGTCTTTTACTTCCATTAAAAAAGAAATATACATTTTTTCCTCACTGGTAGCGCAACGATGAGTTTCATGCACAACACAATCGTCAGGTGCTGAGTAAGCCTGACTCTGTTATTTTACATCAAGCACTGTTTTATTAACACCAGCTCTCAATGTGCAATATATATATAGTTGTTAAATTCTTGAAGTCCTGTTCCCAGAATCACATTATTCCTGGGTACATTTCTAGGCACATCTCTACGATTAAGTATTGTAATTTGGTCTATGTCGAAAGAGCATTACTTAGAAATAAAATCTTGTATTACTCCGACTTAGTCAATTCTGTAAGAATCCAGTATTAATCACTCTGGGGCATTGTCTGGTCTACACTATCTTTTCTTGATAAATTCCATTTTTCGAGATATCTATCCAAATGTGACACTTTTTTTAGTAGCATAACCAATGCTAAGAATTTAGCATATCTAATTTTCTGATTAAAAGAAAGTTTGCCATTTCTGTTACAACATATAAACATATTAATTTATCTGATTACAGTTTGTCCGATACTGATAAGTTTGTCTTGTCCTGCAGTTTGGACTTCCGTATTCTTCCTAATATGATTGATGGAATCGAAGTCTTTAGCGAGTTGAATTATCTCAACTGTCATGGCTCACTAACAACTACAGAAAATGAACAATGAGACATTAAAAGAACCTAAGAAAAATTTATTCCTTTTATTTGTCTGAAGAAGGTCACAAGACTGGAAACATGCGTAGCAGAAATATGAAGTATAAAATATAATATACATACTAAAACAAATCCACATTATAACCAAAAATGTTTGTGTTTTCTCTTTTTTAAAATATACATTTTTTCTCTCGTTGGAACAACTATAACCTTTCCCATATATATATATATATATATATATATATATATATATATATATATATGGGATAAGAACAAATGGAATATAATTCCACTGTAGCATTTATTTTTTTTTATAAAAGGGCTCAATACAGGGTAGAGCTTAATATTATTTATTATATGAGATTAAAACAAAAACATTTAAAATTGCTACACATTGTTTCAGCACTAAAGTTGTACTTTACCATCATCTGAAGAGGCACAACTTTAATGTGATTTTAACAGGTTTTGTTTTTTTAATTGTGTGTGTATATATATATATATATATATATATATAAAAAATTAGTATTTAAAAAATGGATATTTTAAAAATGGATAGGAAAAAAAAAATTCTTATAAAATATATATATATATATATATATATATATATATATAAATAATTACACAAGACCATATAAAATATTAAATAATTAAAACAGGTTTAACCATATAAAATCTAATCTTAGCACCCCTTTAAGAAATCATCAACAAAAAAACAAATAAACAAACACCAAAAAGACTGTAACTAGAACATCAATTTGTGTGAGTTTTAGCAGATAATAATAAAAACAACAGAGCCTGATAGAAATGGCCATTGTAACCAGACAAAAATCCAACAACCCAACCTTACATGACTCTAAAAACTTGACATATAATAAACATTCCCACTTTCATCAAAGCAGAGAATCCTTGATAATAAAAAACAAACCCCAGATTACACCTCCATTTTCAAACTATAAATGAGTAAAACATTTCTTCTAGTGAGTTATTTCAAACATCACTTGAGAATGAAATGGTAATCTAAAGTTAAGGTTTAATATTGTAATTAAACTTTAACACTAGTGGACCAGTTTTGAAACATAGTAATTTTTGTGTTGTGATGGAATCATTTTTTAAAAATAATTATAATTTTAACCTCTACTTCT